ATTAAACTGTCGCATTTTTGGTATGTTATTCTTACGAGAAAAGAACTTTTATAGGTCATTTTACATTCGTCACTTCAATTGCGATTCAAATCTCCCCGGTCTCAATAAAGAAGGATTTTTTGCAAAGCAATGCTATTCCTACCTGAATTGAGAACTGAGAAACAAGCGGAGTGTATCACCAAGTACATAGTTTGATTTGTACTGAAAAAAGATTAAATCAGGGTCGGGGTTTAACGCTGCGTGCCGTTGTGTTAGTTACGAGTGCCATTTATATGCATGATCCGTGATCACGTTATGTTGTTATATTTTTGAGTTTATGTAATGAAATACTGAAATTTATCAAGCGTACAAGTAGAGGAATTACATTGACAAACAATATATTACTCGACTTTCATAGTAAAATTTAGTAAATACATTATACTTTTATTCAAGTTTTTTGTTAGAAATTTGACCTGGGAAGTTTTTGTATAGGTAAATATTAGTAAATTTTACTGAATAAATGATAAAAAAAGTAACAAAAATTAACTTAGTATTGTTCTTTTCATTTTCCACTTGTCGTTATCAGAAACATTTCCTTCTAATATTATTTCTCAAAATTATGACTGCAGGTAACGAAATTTAGAAGCAGAACCACTTTTTCATTCACGTCTCATGCATCCCATCCGTGTGTGGCCGGTGTGAAGCATTCCTCATCCCTGTACATCATCTGCACTCCTTCATCCCTCCCTTGGGATGTGAAATGTTTCTCTTGTAGCTGTAGTTGTGATGATGGCAGTGTCTGCAGCACTAGCAGTGTCTGCAGCACTAGCAGTGTCTGCAGCACTAGCAGTGTCTGCAGCACTAGCAGTGTCTGCAGCACTAGCAGTGTCTGCAGTGAGCTCTTGATAGGGAAAGTTGAGTCTCAGGTAAGAGCGAGAGTTTAAATGAAAATAAAAGTGTGAACTTGGAGCAGCAGGCAAGCTATTTCGACTGAACAATAGTTTAGCCAAAACAATGATATAATGGAACATCCATGGAGCGCTAACAGAACCTGAACAGACCACCATCATAGCTCCGTGTAACAGCATGACAACGGTGGCAGCGGACGGGTAGCAGCGGTGGCTAGGAGCAGGGGACGACTGGCAGGGAGGCAAAGTCCTGCAGTGATGGCAGGAGGTGGCAAGGGGGCAGGTGACAGCGGTGGCAGGTGGCAGCGGTGGCAGGGGTGGCAGGGGTGGCAGGTGGCAGCTGTGGCAGCTGTGGCAGGGGATATTTAAAAAAAAAGTTACCCAAAACGAGTTAAAAAAGGTAATCGAAAAGTTGAAATTGTTGAGAATGTAGGATTCGAGAAACAATGTTGCACCTGAGAAACCTCACCAATGGAGTCAATGTATTAATATGACAAGTTCTCCCTCGATACCACAACACATTCTTATCAAACTTTATAGCTTATTATTCTGAACGTTATTGTTCTTGCTGAAGTTCTGGCACACGATTTCACATATACCGTTCGAAAAAACGCCGTAAAATATTAAAACGGTCCCACCAGCATTGCAGTGGCCGGGGACATACCGTTAAATTAAACGCTGGGGACGTTTTTCTGGAGAAAACGGTGCGCCGGTTCTTGTATTTATTTAGTCTTTCATTAGCGGTTTCTTACTATAATATCAGTATTGTCGAAGGGCATAATAAAAACTCAGAAAATTTATTGAAATATTAATTCTTCATGTTCAACATTGAATAATTTTAATTAATTTTCAAGCTCAATATTTATGATTTATTTGAGTTGTTTTTCTAACCGGGATCGCGAGTCTTAAGTCACTCGCGTTCAAGTTCATAAAAATTGTTAAGTTCAAGGATAACAGAACTTGAGCGTTCATCTCAAGTAAAAACTCACTTCAAGAAATTAAGAATCAAGAAAACTTTTCTTTTGAATCAATCAGACGTTAGCGGCTAATAACTATCATTGAAATTTTATTTGAAATTATGTCACAAAGAGTCTCTACATTTCTGTTTATTCCTTGTATTAATTTATTTTTATATTAATTACTTACACAAGCGTCATGATAATTGAAAAAATCATGATAATTTATTCACAATTTTTTTATCAAATTTGAATAACTTGATACTAGAATACACAGGCTAATATTTACTAGTGAAAGAAACACCGAGATTTTGAGACAGAATAATAAAAATCTTATAAGCAGACAACTTCAAAACCCAAAAGTATTCACAATATCACGAACCGAAATCTCATCTGCATTTCAAATCATATTCTTAATCTTATTAAGAATATGATTTGCATTTGTTTAATTTCCCTCGAATCTAAATTATTTATTTATTCGGCACCTGCCACGGGTGGCGGCACCTGCCACGGGTGGCGGCACCTGCCACGAGTGGCAGCACCTGCCACGGGTGGCAGCACCTGCCACGGGTGGCGGCACCTGCCACGGGTGGCAGCACCTGCCATGGGTGGCGGCACCTGCCACGGGTGGCAGCACCTGTCACGGGTGGCGGCACCTGCCACGGGTGGCAGCACCTGCCACGGGTGGCAGCACCTACCATGGGTGGCGGCACCTGCCACGGGTGGCGGAAGTGTTTTCGACTGTCCGCATTTCCTTGACGGTTGCAATTACAATTAAAGTTGAAAATAATAACCCAGGGCACAGTGGATAACATGATAAGCAGGAAGCGTTTTAGGTTGTTTTCAAATCTCGATACCATTTTAAAAATTTCAGCTGAAATATTTTTAAGCACGAGAAAAAGACGTGAAAATTACAAGCGGATATACGTGCATTAGGATATAGTAGTTAAATGCTTGTTTTCTTGCAGGATCAGGTCACAAGCTCGAGTCCTGAGTCTGTCCTTAAATCATAAAAAATGCATCAAGTATCTTCAATTAACATCCGTTCTATTTTAATTCTGGGCTAACTTAAACTCTTATAAAAATAACTATATACGACACTATGTAATTTTTTAAATTTAATTTAATTTATTTTATTATATTTAAAATAAAAAAAAATAACTATATACGACAGTTTTTAATTATATTTACACTGGTCAAATGCTTGGTTTTACTGAGCGCTGACCAAATGCTTTACAGTTTTTATTAAGGGCTGAAACACTCCTACTCCATTGTACATTCCATTTTAATTTCTAACATTTATTTTGCATTTAGTGAAAGCGTGCACCTCTAGGCTAAACTTGGGTTTGTGGAAGCGCATATCAAGGTTATACGTTGTCATAACCAATTGCTGCTGCAAGTAACAATACATTTATAAGTGAAATTCTCGTCGAGTTACTTCTTAAACTAAATATGGCTCTTCAACATTACGTTCCCCCTCCAAAATCCACCCACGACCCATGAAGTACTTCAAAACTACTAAAAAATATCAGACGAGGTCTTAAAAGCAGTTGCGAGCAGCAGGCAGCGTGAAGTGCATCCACAATCCTGCTCGTCGACCATGAACTACTTTAACCCGAGCCTCTTGGCTACAACCAACACCATCTTCGTCCGCCTCACCACCACGGTCAACTGGTTTAGTCTAGCGAGGTCATCCTTGCCATCGCAGCCGTACAGTCAGAGTCACACGGCACAGTCATACAGCCAGAGTCACTAGTAAGCAGTCGTACAGCCAGAGCCACACGGCACAGCAGTACAGTCAGAGTCACAAGGCGCAGCCGTACAGTCAGAGTCACACGGCACAGCTGTACAGTCAGAGTCACAAGGCACAGCTGTACATTCACAGTCACTAGTAAGTAGTCGTACAGTCAAGAGTCCCAAGTACGAAGTCGTACTGTCAAAGTCACACGGCACAGTCGTACAGTCAGAATCACATGGCACAGCTATACAGTCAGATTCACAAGTGCGAAGTCGTACAGTCAGAGTCACAAATACGAAGTCGCACAGTCAGAGTTACAAATACGAAGTCGCACAGTCAGAGTCGCAAGTACGAAGTCGTACAGTCAGAGTCACAAATACGAAGTCGCACAGTCAGAGTCTCAAATACGAAGTCGTACAGTCAGAGTCACAAATACGAAGTCGTACAGTCAGAGTCTCAAGTACGAAATCGTTCAGTCGGAGTCACAAGTACGAAGTCGTACAGTCAGAGTCAAAAGTACGAAGTCGTACAGTCGAGTCACAAGTACGAAGCTGTACAGTCAGAGTCACAAATGCGAAGTCGTTCAGTCAGAGTCACAAGTACGAAGTCGTACAGTCGAGTCACATGTACACAGCTGTACAGTGAACATTCATAATCACAAGCAGCGCTCATTTAGATGCAGTTTCTTCAGTAAACCTAGTGCCAATAAATTAATTTAATGTAAGGTAGAAACAAAATTGGAATATATTTGAAGGCGTCGATTATTCATAACAATGTGGAGAACCAGAGAAGACTAGAAAATGTATAATGCTCATGATGATATAGGAGTGCAAACTAAATTGTCGTCGGAAACAAGAAAAGTGAGTAATGAGAAACGTGTTCAGGCTGCTTCATATATAAATATGGCATTGACGAATGTTATTCGGAATTAAATGAGTTAGTGAATGAATTTGAACATATATTATATATAATGTCATCATCCCTAGTAAGGGAAATGATCGGGTGAGTAATGGATTTCGGTACACATCATTGTAATAAAAACTCTTCTCTTTATAATTAATTCTTTATAATTATTTCTTAAAAGGATTCAAGAGTAATGCGATAAAGAAAGTTTGTTGAATTTTCTTAAATGTATCAATTATTTTCAAGGTCTGCCTGTTGGTTGGTAAGCTGTTCTTTAAGGTGAACTAATTCGAGGAAGGCTGTTTGGTTCGGGTTGAACCAGTAAAATGAATCCAAATAAAAACTAAAACAGACAGGAGCGTTTGAAATATGTGTTTTTGCTTATAAGACGAATGAGACATCCTGTAAGCGTTTTTAGTGCTCACGCTGTGTCGCAACTCAGCCTGAGTTACCTGCTGGGTACAACTGGCACTTCCCACTCCAGCTTTTCAATGACGCCTCGTCAGTGGAAGTGAGTCAGTTGCGGACGCAGGTGATGTCTGCAGTGAGCTCCGCCCTTCAGTGCAACCGTCTCTTGACCGAATGTCTCAGTCAAGGTGCACTCTTATCACAATAAACGAGTTATTTCGGACGTTTCTCCATCAGTGTTCTTTGATGCTAAATTACTGAACTTAGTGTTTACTTTGTAGTACATAATTCATAGAGATTATCGTTTTCCCTTGTTTAGTGGCGAAGCAAGGCCGAGGATCGCTGAAGGAGGTCAAGGTTAGTGCTGTGCTTGAGAAGCGGTGCCCGGATCAGCAGGGCCAGTTTCGCTTTCGTTGGTCCCCTAACTCTTAGTTGCTCGAACCTATGCAGGTCACGTGAAACCCATACGCTCGATTTTATTTAATATATCGAATTATTCTGTCAAATTGCTTCATATCACTATAATTGGGCTTCAGCCATCATGTTTTTATGTTAGAGGCTCTTAGTCAATAGTCTTAGAGCTGCTTTGGCAGGCTCAGCCCTCAGGCTGAGCAGCTGTTTTATCTCTATTCAAATTATTCAATGATTCCATTCTACTGTAAGTGCATGACCAAAATTTCTCAACGCAAGCACAATTCTGTGCATCCTGTGTTGTGTAGGCTAGCTTTTTAATTATGTGTTCTGAAGTCTGAACTTCTGAAAGGTACTTGCTTAGTCTTTATATTAGTGATTACTGATTTGTAATTGTGCAGTGCTTATCCCAATTTTATACTCGTGAGTTTTGATGCCTTAGAGTTTTACTTGAAGTATAAAAGTTTAGCATTAACACAACACATCCAAACAACTGAAACAAGCAAACATCAAAATTATTCTTATTTTTAGTGCATAATAATAATAGTGGTAAAAAAATATAGTATGTCTATATTATTTTGTTGACTGTGGACTGTGGTTTGTCATGGCTAAATATGAAGGCTTTTACCATAAAAATTTACAAGTTATTATGTCCATTTCTCAAAGATCTCTACCAAAAAAGTAGTAAGTGTAACAATTTCTTAAATACCTAGTCTTATTTTCCATGCAAATGGTACAAAAATGACAAAATTTGTGTCCATAGAAGAAAGCAAAATATTGGTATCTATGTGACTATGCCTAAAAATTAATAACAATTATACTCATTTTAGAAGCAGGTAGGCCTAATTATGAATTTTGAAGCTCTTGTAGTTTGTGACTTTGTGGTTGTGGTATTTTATTAACCACCCAGTAATAAAACTGGAGCCCAGTGTTTGGTTGTGCATTGAAAGCCAGACCTGCCTGCTGCCAGAGAGCTCTGTCTAAGTCAAATTAATTTTATGAGCTATTTATAGGAATTATAGCTAGCACTTTTTGGCCATGTATAGAGCTGTGCAATGTGCATTTTATCCATGGAAAGTTAAATACTATCCAATTGTTAATAAACCCATGCATTATGCAACATGCATACATTCAAGCCATAACATTCAAAAATCACGTATTTTTAACATTTATCTTCTCAGCTGTTTAGAAAATATCAAGTCATTTCTAAATCTTCTTCCAATGCTTTTGTACATGCTTTTTTGGAAGTGACAATAAACATAAATAAAAATAGAATTTAAATCTTTAGAGACATTCATCTCCTAAAGAAAAGTTTTGGATAATAGTGATGTCAGTGGAATTCATGAAGAATTGTGGCAGCAATGATTTATTAAGTATAGTGGCAGCAACTGTCATGTTATAAGGAAGGCCAATAATAATAATAATTATATTGTTAGTGTATTGTATTGTGCAACTTTTTATAGGTATTGGTTTCACTAGTATCTGAGAAATAATTATGCTCTACTTGTGAAATTTGTAAGTAATTTTCTAAATGTCTATGATTGCTATAGAATAAATTTAACAAAAGGTATAAAGAGCCATGAAATTCATTGTTTTAGTTGGGAATCAATATATAAAGATATATGCCATCATTTGACAGTATCATTCATTTGACTGATTATCATCATAATTTGACATTATCATCATCATTTGACATTAACTTATGACACCAACTTTTCCTGACCATGTCCATTTGCAAGGCCAAAATTCAATCTGTAATATTCATTTAGCCTTCTATGTGTACCGGTATTGATTATTGTTGTAAAATTGAAGCCTATGTGTTTGCCTTGAAATGTATACACCTATACCGGTACTTATGTATTTTTTGTGTATGCAGGAGAGGGAATTGCTCATGTTTTTGCATTTTCTAGGTTTCATTAGTGTGGTTCTGAAATGACTGTCCAATTTTTTTTTTTAGATTTTGATCTGAGGCTTGGTTAGTCTGATGCTTTATGTTCGGCTTTAGTTTTCCTTTTGGGACTTCTTACTGTATTAATATCACACACCTTTGGCTTTATAAAAATAGTTTTCACTGCTTCAATTTTCTTCATACAAACCTTTATAATATTGATATGATATATATGTACTTATATATAAATATCTTGTAGGACACCACCTTATCACCTTATATATAACTAATGTGAAAAATACAAAACATTTCAGATGTTGAATGTAGGACACCACCTTAGCTACATTTATATTGGTGTCCTACACTGCCATGATAACAGATCAAATACTCTTCCGATATACACTGGTTTTATATAAAATCAAATTTACTTGCGATTTACCCTTTCTCTAAAACCTATCAAATTAATTTCTGATATAGACCGCTTTCTGCTGTTGAATTTCATGTTGCTTTGTCTAGACTCTAGACTCTTAGACATTTATTTGACTTTAACACCTTGTTGCACTGGCTTTAATAACATTCAACATCTGAAATGTTTTGTATTTTCACATTAGTTATTTCTAGTTGTTGAATTTGATATACTTGGGATTTGATGCAGCCCTTAGATGTATATGTGTTACAAAATTCGTAGTAACAGCCATGGTATCATGAATGGATAAAGAACTGCTTTGAAGCACTGGGTGCTGGTGGAGTATATATATAGACTTGTGGCAATACATAGCAGTAAAGGCCGCGTGTAGATTATCAGCAATAATAATAAAATACTAACACGCCTGACCTCGTTTTTCACTACAATCTAAAATACAATTGTGTCTCAAATCTTATAATTCTTTCTCCATACTCTACCTGAACCGAACCACGCCATGCCAGACAGCATTGATCGGTAAATATTGCGCATACTGTACGTGAACGGAAATCCCTGTGCTTGAACGTTCAATTCTACACATTTGTATTTCTTGTAATTTGTAAAAGTTTGCTCTAACATGTACCCGGCACCTTCACGCGTTGTGCCCTAAAGCTTATCGAACGATATCAGGCGCTACGTGACCTAAAAGAAAGATTTAAGTTAACTTTAGCGCTCTTCGTAAAGAAATCCTCGTCAATAGCGTTTATATGCTTGCGGGTAATACTTGTATGAAACTGAACCTTTGTGGCCAATATTCTGCTTTTTCAGTTAGGGACGCGTTTGTATGTAATATGGGATCATTTAATTCAAACAAATAAAGGACCAAGCAACTACGAGATTCAAACATATTCATAATAGATGCCTGCTTTCCGTTAGATTCGCATTCTATTTTTCGTTTTTTTAAACCAAGTTAATAGACGAGAAATTTATCTATAACAATAAAATAATTCAAGTCGTATAATTTCGAAGCAGTATTTTCATGCTCCACGTACATGGATGCCCGATGCGTACGGTATATGATTTGCAGTCTAACCATATTTTATAGCCGGGGTTTTAAACTGAATATAGACCTACCTATATTAGGTGAGACTGCTTGATACGAACGGTTATAAAATGCGCTCAAGGACTGGTGTCGGCCAATTCGACTCGTCTTAACACTGCCATGATAACAGATCAAATACACTTCCGATATACTACACTGGTTTTATATAAAAAATCAAATTTACTTGCGATTTACACTTTCTTTAAAACCTATCAAATTAATTTCCGATATAGACCGCTTTCTGCTGTTGAAGTTCATGCCGCTTCGTCTAGACTCTAGAGCTTCGAGATAAATATAGATATAGATGCATATTTTACATTAAGGGATGAAACACTCCTTTAAAATTTATATCCCCCAATAAATATATTGTATATATTTACAATTGAACCTTGAGTTACGAGTTTTTCCCTGAGTTCGGTCAGGTTTGATCATCAATCGATTTAAATTGATGTGATTATCTACTGAAACGTTGTTTGCGATAATTAACTGAGCTGTATCTCTTAGTTCACTGCACAAATGCTTAGTCAGCTTAGTATGAAGACAGTGAAATGCTGCCAGCGACTGCTGACGCTATATGTAATCGAGGATGCTTTGTCTGACACTAACATAAAAGTTTAGTGCTGATGTCCAAAAATTTCATCTGTAGTGATAATATTTGTTATAAGTTCCTTTGGCTAAATGAAAAAAGTATTTACGTATAATATTAAGCCTTACAACAGCCTGACAATCCGCTTGTTCGATACTGAGATCGAGGATACAGTAGCGTGTTAAAAGAAAATTACGACTGCCTATTATTTATTCCTTGTAGGATATTAGCTGTCGCATATTAGGATACACTGTCATGAGGAAATTGCCCTCAAACTCAGCTGGCGTCCAAAACATCTTGAATTCGGCGCGTCCACACGAATCGCATGCAGTTAGAGCGCCATATCATGAAATTTCAAAACCAAGTTTCAAAAGAAATTCTTTCCATCGAAAAAAAAACGGCGTTGATCGTGTGACAGTCTTTCCTCAAGTTCTGTCAGGATAATTGAAATACTGGCTGCAAATTAGGAAGACCCGTATTAATAGCTTTTACGTACTATTTATTTCGTATCAATTCTTTCATTTCAATATGCAATAATTCCGGGTGTGGTGCACATCTCATTTTTTTTATTTTTCATTAAATCTTACTCAGAAACTACTCAAGCCAACTTTGCGACGCGTTTTCCCATGCCACATTTACTTTTCAGTACAAAATAGTACATATATTAATGGTAATTGCACAAAATATACGGACTCTTCAATGGCTAATTTGTCTCTTATTCTTCAATATTTTAATCCGATCAAGTAGCCTCAGCCGCAGCCCATCTCTCCTCAGTATGGAAGGCCGCAAACATCTCTTAATTATAGCGAACACTTGCATGCTTATTGCAGCCTTACGTCAGAACAAGGTGCTTAAAATTGTCATCTTAAATTGCCCTTGAAATTAATTAATTTATCATTCGAACAAAGTCTCTCCTCGTCACAGTTTTCATTTGCTACGTCATTGAGTGGAGTAACTTCATACGTCGTTGGGATTCATCCTGCCATGCCCGCTTGATCTAAATTGCTCAATACGTCTCGTTTTAGGGTTGACTTTATCAATTATTTTTTAACCCTTAAAAATATCACTATCATTCACTGAAATCAATACAGCTCGAGCTGAATTAAGCTCTCAAGTTCTTTATTTTTTTATTTCCTACGTTTCAGTTTCACTTGAAAACGCTATTTAAACTTAGCGGAACTTTCGCCTTGCACGTCTTAACAGCCCTTGCATGCCTTTACATCCATAAAGTGACTTCCATGTAATATCATCCATGCAGTGACTTCCAAACAATATTCACCCAGTGATTTTCAAGTAATAACATCCATGCTGTGACTTCCACGTAATATCATCCATGAAGTGACTTTTATTTAAGATCATCCATGCAGTGACTCGTCTATAATTACTTCTCGCATTGACTTGCAAATAATGTCATCCAAGCAGTGAATCTCTAGTAATATCATTATATGATGCTTGCATTGATTAAGTAATATCATCGATGCTGTGACATTCATGTACTATCCATGCAGTTACTCTCAAGTAATATATACTGCAAGTAATATATTACAATACATTATATCAAGTAACATGTATCACACGTAATATATTACATAGAAGTAATCTAATACATTGCAGTTATAGCTGACAACATGGACAGCAACGGTAGCCAATGTTTCTGTCTGCGCTGGAACAACTTCCAGAGCAGCGTGGTGACAGTGATGCGCACGCTACTGCAGGACAGAGCCTTCCTGGACGTCACGCTGGCCTGCGATGGCCGCAGTCTGCAGGCTCATCGTCTCGTGCTCGCATCCTGCTCTGATTTCTTCAGTGACGTACTTAAGGTAAGGCATTAATTATAAACGTATTTTAATGATCATTAGAAGTAGCATTTTAATGATCAGTGGCTGTTGACCCGGGCATGAAATTGTGTGGTAGTGTTTAAACTAGCAGCTTGCAACATTTGCTAGCTTCTTCAGTGACGTACTTAAGGTGAGGCATTAATTATCAACGTATTTTAATGGTCATTAAAAGTAGCATTTTAATGATCAGTGGCTGTTGACCCGGGGTTGAAATTGTGTAGTGCTTAAACAAGCAGCTAGCTACATCATCTCCGACTTCTTTAATGACGAACTTTAGATGAGTATTATTAGCACAGTGGCAATTTTCAGGCTGTAGACCCAGGGCTTCTAATGGTTTGTAGTGTTTAAACAAGCAGCTAGCTATACACCTGCGCTCCCTTCTTCAGTGACGCCCTTGAGTCGAGCATTATCATCACTACGGCAATTGTTCAAAACACTCGTGGCTCGAAAGCTACACCTAGTGCATTGAATAGTGAGTGCATCACTATGGAACCCATCTTTTTCCTACCAATTCTACAAACAGCCTCACTGTGAGAGCCAATTTTTTCGTCCTTAAAATTCTATTACCAGCTTTTCCATGAAACCCCATTTTTGTACGATCAATTCTATCAACCGCTTTACGAGACGCCATTTTTAAGCAAGATCTCCTAATTAAACCAATCCGTTTCGTGATATTATTTTATTACATGTAAAATCTTTCGGAACGTTTGGTGTGGATTAATATATGGCCATAGAAATCATTAGGTACATTTCTGTGGATCATTTTTCCGTAATGGTAATATTATGTGTATACTATGTACTATTTCGTACATATACATAGTTGATTTTAGATCACACATATAATATTTTATTGGGCTATTTAGTTTGATCGGACGGACGTTGCATAATTTAGCGATACTATTTCTTCTTTTTTTTTCAAGGAAACCGTAGCAATTTCTCTAAGATTTATTTTTCTTTTTATTCATAGTTTGACATTTGCCAACCACATGCATGGGTTTTCATAATCGTCACTATCTTGCCGGAGAAATTTTTATTTCTGCGATGCAATTTATAAATTGAGTATATTCGGGATTCATGTAACTATCTGCAGCAAATGTTTTCATTTTAGTATACGACCATCGATGTGTATTTTTAAATATTTATTTGCAGGAGAACCAGACGGAACATCCCATCATTTTCTTGCGGGATGTGAGCTTCTGGGAACTGGAAGCCATCATGGACTTCATCTACAATGGCCAGGTCAAATTTATTGCTTATAAAATTTATGTTAATTTACGGTAATTAAAAATTTAAATAGCACTCTCGGTTACAATGGCTTATGATGAGATTCAATCTTAATTGCTTCTGAGGGTTCAATTCAATATTTTAATAATTTTCACTGTAATGTCGGGAATAAATTGAAACTTGCATTGGTGACCATCGAGCTATGTTTTAAGTATCGCTAAGCTGATTTATTTTTCATTTGCATTGTGAATTTCATACTCCGAGTTTCCGTATAGTACATGGATTGGTTACTCACCGTCATCGCATTCATCTTGAACTTTAATTTGTATTAACTTGTTTCCTATCAATTTCAAGCTCTGCAGCACCGTATTAACGAATGTGTTTTTTCTTGAATTTCAAATAGTATATTTAAGCTCTGTAGCACCGTATAAATGAATATGTTCTTTCCTGAATTTACAATAATATATGCAAGCTCTGTAGCACCGTATTAACAAATGTGTCCTTTCCTGAATTTCATGTTATAGGTATATTTAAGCTCTGTAGCACCGTATTAATGAATGTTTTTTTTCTGAATTTCAAATAATATATTTAAGATCTGTAGCATACCGTATTAAGGAATATGTTTTTTTCTGAATTTCATATAATATATCTAAGCTCTGTAGTACCGTATTAGCGATTGTGTCTTTTTCCTGAATTTCAAATAAAATATTTAAGCTCTGCAGCACCGTATAAATGAATGTTATATACTGAACTTGACGTAACAGCAACATGTTTTTGCAGGTAAACATCATGCGGGAACAATTGCCAGGCTTCATCCGCACAGCGTGTGCACTGCAGATCAAAGGACTCGCGGCCGTTAATAACAACAACAGTCCATTTAATTTCAATAATAACAGCTGCAGTCCCACAAGCACCAGCAACCCATTCAGTTTTAACAGCTCCATCAGTTCCAATAACGAAATAAACAGCTTTTTAAATTACAACAACAACAACATCAACAGTGTTAACAATAACATTATTGCCGCTGTTAACAATAACAATAATGATTCAAAATTTAGCAATAGACAACTAGAACCTATGGCTCTAGACACCAAGTTTAGGGTACGTTCTCAGAGCCCTAGAGCTTCCCCTCCTATCGCTGCCTCCCCTCCCACTACCCCAAGCTTTAAGAAGAGAAGGCATGACTCCCCCATTCCTCTTCCCCTTTCATCCCCACGTTTCGGGGACCCTGAAGGTCCCCCCAGGTCCCTGGATGAGGACGGTCCCAATCTCAAGTCCTCGTCCCCTTTCGGTATCACTGATACCATCCAGTCCCTCGCGTTCTCAGGTGAGAATTTCATGATGTATACATAAATGACATTTTTTGTATAATAATAATATCTTACGTGAATGATATTCTCCGGTAAGATATTATTTTTGTCGTTGATAAGAATTCTGGTGCTTGTAGACGGGGCATTACCTAGTGGCGGCCAGTAACTAGTGGCGGCCAGTAACTAGTGGCGGCCAGTAAAACATCAAAATACATACCGTCGCTATTTACGGCGCTACTGGCCTTGTGTACAGGCGCTATTGGCCACGCAAAGAGCCAGTAAGCTTTAGAACGGACCAGTATCATAATAATTGGTCACAGTTACTGGCTGCTGCTATATCCCCTGTGAAGAAAAACCTAAAATGATAGCCCCTGTTTTGTCACTTCGAGTTAATTTTGAAGTTTCAAATACTTTCCCTTAATCCATCTATATTTTTAAGCGTCTCTAGATGAGTGAGATGGTGTTTATTTATTTTATCTCTTGCATTTGAGTAAAAATTATGCAAGCTGTTCCCATTTCAAAGCTGGTCTACGTTGGCAGCATAAATCCTGATTTCTGAGATACGTTGAAGCATCGAAACGTTTAGTTTTCCTATCCAAATACCTACATATATGGTACAATGTGGAAAAGTATCTCTTACCATTAATTTAAACGGTACAAAATTTTTCGATAATTTGACAGACATGAACCCAGTTTCTGAAATGTCTTTCTTAAAGATTGAATGAAAAAATGTTTCCATATTTATGGCAATTAGAAAGCAAAAAGGGCAATTTGCTTACAACCGCGGACATTGTATGCTTCTCAAATTCGAGTTATTTAAAAATTATCTGTTTAGTTCCACCTGAAATGTCGTAAAAATATCGTCATCCGGATATAGAACATCATTCAAATATCTGATGTTGCTAATGATGAAAGATGTAGGTACCTTTTATAGATGTTATTGACGTCATAGATAATTTCCGTGTTAACATTTTCGAGTCCTTGTAGCAAAATATTTGGTAGACAATTCGATTATATTTCCGATTTTCTATGATTATCTCTGTCCAATACGCGGCAAAGATAATCATCGAAGTAATAAATTTTAATATTGAAAGATGAATGTTTTCAATGTTAATGATATCATAGATGATTTAGATATTAAAACTTTTGAGTTTTAGCAGCGAACTCTGCGGTGGGCAACACGATGACGAATCTTTGAAGTAATAAATTTAAATGTTGAAAGATGAACGTTTTCAATTTTAGATGATTTAGATGTTAAAATTTTCGATTTTTAGCAGCGAACTCTGCGGTGGGCAACACGATGACGAGTGTGGCGAGCATGGCCAGCATCTCGGTAGCGAAGGCGATCTCGCTCTCTAAACTTGTCCACGAAATATCCTCGCAAGCCTCCATTGCCAGCCTCAAGTCTGCCTCTCTGCCTCCTCATCACACCAGCCTCCCTCCTGACGAACTTGTTAACGGCGACCTACAGCCTCACACACCGCCTCCCCAGCAGCCTCTGCCTCATCTCCCCTCAGCCCATCTCCATAACACGAGTCAGTTTTGGGGGTATACGAGTTAGTTTTGGAGGAATACGAGTTAGTTTTGGAGGAATACGAGTTAGTTTGGGGGAATACGAGTTAGTTTTGGGGGTGTACGAGTTAGCTTTGGAGGAATACGAGTTAGTTTTGGGGGAATACGAGTTAGTTTTGGAGGAATACGAGTTAGTTTTGGGGGAATACGAGTTAGTTTTGGAGGAATACGAGTCAGTTTTGGGGGAATACGAGTCAGTTTTGGAGGAATACGAGTTAGTTTTGGGGGAATACGAGTTAGCTTTGGGGGAGTACGAGTTAGATTGGGGGAATACGAGTTAGTTTTGGGGGAATACGAGTTAGTTTTGAGGGAATACGAGTTAGCTTTGGGGGAATACGAGTTAGTTTTGGGGGAATATGAGTTAGTTTTGAGGGAAAGCGAGTTAGTTTTGAGGGAATACGAGTTTTTTTTTTTTTTGAGGGAATACGAGTGAGTTCGGGCACAAAGTCAAATATTTGTTTATATCATATTGATCCAAAGTCACGCAATATAGTTTCGTTTCTTGAAGAAACCTTACCTAATTTTTACCATGGAATACGTGCACACGAGCATCCTTGCCATCACCACGCACCTGTGAGCTCGACACATGGCAATGCTACAGCTGTGCATCACTTAGAATTTTTTTGTGAATTAGAGTGCATATCAATCATTTATATCGGAGTGCATATCGCTTATTTAATTTAGAGCGCATAGCGCTCATTTAATTAGAGTGCATATCACTCATTTAAATCAAATTGCACGTCGATTATTTTAATTACAGTGCCTATCGCTCATTCCTGAACGTCTAGCCCTCTGAGGCTTGAGTAGGGCTGGCATTATTGCTGCTCTAATGAACGCATTTCTCTAATTATTGCAGCTCTAATAAATATATTTGTTGAGCAGAAGACTGGGCATCAAGCAAGAACGAGGACGGCTTCCCCGCGTGTTCGCTGTGTGGTAAAGTCTTCAAGCATCAGGGCTCATTGGTGGCGCACTATCAGGTGACCATATCAGTCTCTTTATCACTATATAGAGTGTGTCATCACTTTGACACAATATATTAGTGTCTCATCACGCTGACACACTCTATAGGTTGTGCCATCACGCTGACACACTCTGTAGGTTGTGCCATCACGCTGATACACTCTATAGGTTGTGAGCCAACTGATCGCAATCAGCGACTGGTCAGAACCTCCTGGCCGACTTTATGGTCTCCTGAGAGTAGGGCAAGAGTTGGCAGAATCCCCTCAGTCCTCTCACCAGGCTCTGGTAGCTGTCTGATTCGGGACCGGAATGTAGACCAAAAAGCGGACATATAGAGAAGCTGATTTACGTTCGGTCCTCCTATAGGAACCTATTAGGAACCGACTATAGTCGGTTCCTAATTCAGGGTCGCCGCAAACTAAAATTTGGATAGGGCTTGAGCGCTACCCACAAATTCATGCTGCATGAATTCGTATTGACATTTATTTTTTGTCACTAAATCAATGGATTCATGGGAAGGCACTAATCAATTTTGCACTAATTCAACGGATTCTTTACGCTAGTATTGTTTCAACTATGTTGAAAAATTGTTTACTCTCAAACAAAGTTATCGCTTTGTGTGATACGAAAAATTTCATCTGTTTGGTGCAGTGAAAGTTTAAAAATCATGTTAACTTATCTAGCAAGTTAAGTAGAAGAAGGGTAATTATTGACTGTCCGTGCAGGTTCACCAGCAGCGTACCAAGTGCCCGGTGTGCCAGAAGGTGTTGTCCCGCCACTACCACATGAAGGTTCATCTCCTGACGGTGCACAAAGTCCCGGACTCTGAGATAGACTCGCTTCTGAGAACACAATGTGTCTGATGTGCTGTCAAGTTAACACAATGTGTCTGATGTGCTCTACTCTAGTTCTTCCTTGCCTTGTTCAGGATTCCTTGAATATCCTGTACAGATATTGAGTTTTCTGGCTCTGATTACGCGAGGTGTCGGAAATTATCTATTAATATTCCATGCCAGTGGAACGTTTGTGGTGCTATTGTACAGATTTCGGGGAGCGTGGGAAAATCTAGTTGATGGGAAATTTTATTTGTGAGGTCCTGTTAGACATGCAGAATATTTTGCATTGCTCTAACAATAGTAAGTACAAGATCGGAAATGCGGAAGTGAACGACACCGTTTATTGTGTTCATGGCCATAATGGAAGGGTTGGCTAAATTTTTAGATTGCATTTGTTCGAATTTTGATCGCGAATCAAAAAGCCTAAATACATTATTTTAATTTCGATCTGGTATATAGGGCTCATTCGAATGATTTTTGCAGCCTTAATTTTTTCGTGCAATATTCCGTGCCTGGTAATTTTTGTAGAATTTTTATGGAGTAAATATTTATGTCGAGTCAAGATTTTCTTGGTTTACTTCTATACGTTGACTGAGGAGTGCATCTCTGCATTTAATGTGAACTGTTTTATTTTATTATTTCTGTACCAAATTGAAGAAATTATTGTTTTATTATGTTTTTTCTATCAAATTGAGTTGCCCATTATAAATATTATTGAGTAAAGTATCATAAAGTGTAGTAGATGCAGCCGTAGCTCGCGGGTGTCATATCTGTCTGAACTGATACAATATTGACATTAATAATTCTTCTTTATTTTAGGAATGCAATGCAGAAGTTATTCACCTACTCATCTGCACTTGAGTTCATAGTAAATTATTGAGGGTTATTGTAATAAATGAAGTAACTCAGTGAAGTTTCACGGCGATATATTCCTGCTGCGTTGATGTAGCATCACTTTAGGAGCCTCTAATAAAGCTTCTTAAATTACGTATAGGTACTAAGTTAACCTTAAGGAATTTTAGTACCTGCTTGCCTCTGTGTCTAGATTTCTCCGTCCTCGCTAACCATTAGTTTAAGTCAATAAATAAATGGCGATCAAAGTAAAATGGCGCTAAAAAAATTATGCAAGCGTTACTGGGAAACGAATTTGTGGCCTGGAAAGCCTAAGCGAAAACTTCATTTTTTGTTGGGAATCTGAATTTTTCGCTCACCTTCTCCTGTTGCCTGTCGTTCAGTAATGTTGTGCGAATGTAAGATGCCAGTGGATAGACTAAAGCTATTTAATGGGTCCTATTTTATTAAAAGTCTTGATACTTTTCTTACATATTTAGTTCAATTTTGAACAGCGTATTTCTTGTGGCCTATCCTATCACCAGTTAGTGAATGTGAGAGTCTTGATTATTGTTCGTACGTGGCTCCTTCAATGGACTTTCTTGCGCCAATTGTAGCCTTTTGTGACTTTTATTCATAATATCTAAAGGACCACTTAGGCTTGGCTCCAGTTCATTTTAATGTACGTGTATTATTACTGGCGTGTGCCGTTTTGTGCTTACTTCTCGTGAATATGGACTCTTCTTATTTTATGTTCTTTTTTGTGCTTTGCCTTTGACTGTTGTGCCTTTATGTCCATCCTTCGTATTTCTTCTACGTATATTTATCACCTAGCGTTTGCAAGTAGCATTTTTGTTGGAAACTATTCTTTTATTTTCTATTTATACTAATTAATTTTTCTTACGTTGAAGCATGTGCCTCATTCGAGCTTACTCGCTCAGGCTGTTGCGTCTCGAAGCAATCGTTCTGAAACGCACCACATTTTTTAACATCGTCGTATTTTTACAGTTTGCCATTTCCGTGGCATCACAAAATAAGTTTAACTAGCATTTTAAACGTTTTAGTTTGGCTTTATTTTCAAAAGATTTTTAATACTGCTCATGTTAATCGTGCCATTAATGTTTTAATCTTGCAATTTCAATTTCTGGCGTTCGAATGACCTACGCATATTTTTTTCTGAACTACTCGTAGTTACGACGTACGTTTTTTCTGAACTACTCGTAGTTACGACGTACGTTTGCTACACTCGGAAAATTAGTGGGTCATGTTGCGAAAGTGGCAGAAAGTGTGTCACTATTTGGAGAAAATGATCCATTTATTTTTAAGAGTGTTAGGCTCACCAGCGTTCGAGGATTTTCAATTATTTGTTATCACCGGGATTCTGAAATATCATTTGTATGACTAACTGAAGTAAGTTCGGTTTGAATGGAACAAAACTGAGCATCAGCCACGTATTTGTGTTGCATTGCAGTTTAGGTTCCTGCTTCACCTTTGGTATGATGCCATCAAATTCTTATAGAAATTTTGTTTATCAGATGAAGTTAGCAAAATTCGGTTCACTCGTTATTCAAGATGTGCGCAAATTTTCACAAAAAAATCACGATGTATGCAATTATCGGATATTTTCTGATCAGAAATATCGCTATTGTTTACTATTGAGATCAATTTACGCAGGTATTTTTGAAATGCCTTATTTATGACTCGCTTTACATCGTCATTAATGGTAAGGAATAGTTTGCCTGCGCTTACCTAGATTAGAATTTAACGCTTGCCTAGATATGCAACAACTCGAGTTACTTGCTCTTGAGTTCCGTTCCTAATAATTTAGTACACGTACATTTGTCCAATACTGTAGTACATGTACATTCGTCCAATAATTTAGTACATGTACATTCGTCCAATAATTTAGTACATGTACATTCGTCTAATAATTTAGTACATGTACATTCGTCTAATAATTTAGTACATGTACATTCGTCCAATAATTTAGTACATGTACATTCGTCTAATAATGTAGTACATGTACATTCGTCCAATAATTTAGTACATATACATTCGTTTATCATCGGTTTGTACACTTGCATTTACTATCAGATTTCTGTAAATTTGTAATTTTGCGCCTTTGTAATATGTAAGTGTGCATTTAACTGATGTACTAGCGTGCAATCGACGTTTGTACCTGCTTCGTCTATGTAATTTTGCCTTTAGTTATTTTGTACAGTTTTATTCATAAGCACTCTTTTGTACATTAGAACTTTCGTGCAATTGTTTTCCCAAGTCACTTGTGCACTCGTAGACTTCGCAAAATTTATTTTATTTGTATTATCTGCGCTCAGTTTTCCTGTGCATTTGTTTGTGTTCATTTCTCTTCTAATTTATTGTTTATTTAGCTTTGTCCTCTTCTCCGCTGCATCTCGCAATTATTGGCTTGTCTGCAATCCTGCCCTCATCGTCGCTGATTATAATTAAGGATAATTATAATCAGCGATATATTCAGGGATTGAGTTCCGAGAACTCGGCTTTTCTGAACAACCGAATAAGTTACATCCCAGAAATCGAGTACTCAGACCAACAGAACAAGATATTTCTGAGAACATGAGTATTCAGACCGACAGAACAAGATATATCTCAGAACCCCCAGAAATCGAGTGCTCTGACCAACAGAAGAAATTTACAACTCAGAACTCGACCTGATGCGATCGATAACTGCAGGCGCACCATTTAATTTTACTTCTCGCTTTGACTTGCCAATGTTTCTACCTGCCTGTGACGCGTCTGTATAGTTAGTAATGATTTATGTATACACGTGCCTTGATATGTATAAGCTGTGTAGTTCCTCTGCTACAAACGCAGGCATGAAAGACAATATTTGTGAAGGGAGGTTGCCCGGTGCTGGAAAAATTCTCACCTTCTCTCTTACTGCTCTTCGTCTTCTGGGCGTACGATTTTTTTATCTACGCAATTATGTTCCAAATAGGATTTCTGTTAAGTTAATAAATTTTGAAGCGCGATTATGTTCCAAGAAATAGGATTTCTTTGAACTTGATGAACTTTGAAGCGCGATTATGTTCCAATGGGATTTAAAATTTGGAAGCGTGATTATGTTCCAACAAATAGGATTTCTTTGAACTTGATCGCGCTTTAGAGCCTGAAAGTCACGAATATGTTCCGAGAAAGAAGATATCAGTTTGAAGTTCCATGAAAAAAATGTTGTCAGTTTGAAGTTTCATAATGAATGGCAACTAATTTTAGTCGATGACAGTTTATTGGAAATGACTGTTGTACGAATAAGAATAAGGTACATTTTGTTTCCGAATGCAGCCATTTTTTTATCTTTGTCATAGTTCTTTATTTAAGCCCATATAAGCTCCTTCGTAGACTTCATTCTTGTGTTTCATGTTGCAGTTTCCTGCTTCGTTGGAGTATGTACAGTGAATGCAATGATCTCTGATACAGACCAGGGGCCTTACTATGACAAATAGTTATGAGTTTGTAGCTCCGTCAGCTAATAGCTTACTGCTTCTCAAGTTGAACCCGCCAATCACAGACGAGAAATCGCCCGCTACGTGTAATTTAGAGAGTTTAGATAGTACGGCTAAATGCCATATTATAACCACTGGCTCGGTAACTGGCTCCACATTATCATATAACGACTGGCCTTTGCGCAATATTATTATATGAACAATAGCAACCAACCGCAATTGATTCATTATAAAGGGTGTAGGCCTCGCCTTGCTAATAAATGTCGCAAAAAGGAATAATTTAATATATTTCATGTTTCCTGCACAAGCTTGGCACAATAGAACGGCAAGCTTTCAAAACTATTTTTTGAATATATTAAAATTAAACGTTAGGCCGCCGTATTTGTATGACCCAAAACATTCATTATATTATAGTTACCGCTTCAAAAGATCCTGAATGTGTTCGCCTGAAGTGTTTGTGGTGCAATTGTATATATGAAAAAAATTCTTCAATAGTATTTATTAAATTATTTTATACAATTTGAGTTTCAATATCCAGGGGAGCATCATAATAACTTTAATAACCAAGACAAAAATCAACATCTTACTCATTGACTGTCAGATGCTCGGGAATGCTACATTTCAACAATGAATTCAATCACGAATTAAAATGATTGAACTTTATTTTAATTAACTAAACCTACGACACGTACACGACTCTCAGGCCATTGTAACAATTCTCGTATTAATATCTCGTATTTTGTACACAAGAATTAAATGCAGAGTCCCTGCATTAGGACTTGCTTAGGCTTGGACTTAGGACTTGCCAAGACTTAGGACTTGCTTAGGCTTAGACTTAGGACTTGCCAAGACTTAATTAGGACTTGCTTAGGCTTGGGTGGCAGCGTCAGGCAGTGACTCTCCGCCTTCCTTGAGGTCTTCGCTGGCCACGAGACTCCAGTGCGGGTTGCCTGCGAACCAAAACATTTTTGAGGAAATATTCATCGTTGAACAATTAAAATTTGGAAAATTGCCATCATTTAACAATTAACGTGTAAATGTCCGGTTAACGGATGTACAAATCTAACACTCAATGCACGACGTTCTGAACTGCTAATAGTAAGAAGTTGCGTATAATATTCTTCTCATAAATGAATTCCAAATTAAGACTATGGTGTATTTTTGTCATTTAAATAATTTGACCGAATGATAACAATGTCACAAGGAAATAATATTAAAGAATAATATTAATAATATTATTAATAAATAATAATAAAATTAATCTAATAGGTAATATTAATGTATGCTACAGGAAATATTATTATTAGTGAAGAGCAGCAAATTACTGGGGTCTCTCACCGAGGAAGTGTTGCCGAGCGCGCTCCCCGCCCGCCTCGAAGTATTCCTGCCGCGTGATGCCGGCCTCCTGCAGGAGACGGGGGGCGGCCGCCCTCGCCCCATACCACGCGCCCAGACGCGGCGTCTGTACATACAACGTCCACTCAGACAACTTAATGGCACATATTGTCCAAATAGTGACACGCTTACCCACACTCGCCCCATACCACGCGCCCAGACGTGGTGCCTGTACACACACCAAGTCCACTTAGATAACTTGGCACATATTGTTCAAGTAGTGAGACACTTTTTAGCGCATTTTCTCGTTTATGGAGAAAATATAACTCAGTACTTACTGCAGTGAGTGACAAAGAGCGCATTTTCTCGTCGACGAAAACGTGAAGTCACGGACGGACGGACAGACGGACATGACGAGCACAATAGTGCATTTTTTCCATAAATGAGAAAATGCGCTAAAAAGGCGCTATTGCGCTCGCCATGTCCGTCCGTCCGCCCGTTCGTCTGTCCGGCCGTGACTATCACGTTTTCGTCGACGAGAAAATGCGCTATCTGTCACTCACTGCAGTGAGTACTGACTACTGAGTTATGTTTTTACCACAGCACGACCAGAGAACGGACGTAGCGCTGATACGCCTGCTTTGCCCGGCCAAACTGTGTCAGGATGACCTACACAAGAGCGTAAAGTGCGAGGCTATTGGATAAACTCTCACTCATTACTCTGAATATCTGGTCGCAACCGCAAGAAATGATCATTGAAGTTTATGAATATCAACAGGTATTTATACTCTCATCAAAGTTGAGAAGCAACCCGTACGGAAAATTTAAGTGTTGATAAAATATTTGGTTGATGGTCATATTCTCCATTTTGGTTGATGTTGAAATTCACCAGCTTAGCTATTGAAGCAGTTAAGGGGAGCGTCTGGGTCCAAAATCAACAATTTTGGCTTTTCCGGGTTTTAGTCTCATCTTAAAGCTGACATTCTGACCTATCCAACGGTACCAGAACCATCTCTGTACGTTGATTTATGCGTTCACGACAGATCGCGAAAAAGCAAAGGTTGGTGGAGTTCTTTAACATTTAACATAGGGAGCAAATGCCGAAGTGCATCTTAAATAGCTAGTATTCACACTCTCCGCTCCAGTTACCCTTCAACAGTCGTGTGGGATGGTTCTTGCTCTGTCGTTCCCACCATCCTTGACAGAGATTTAGCTCCAGTATCGTCTGGTCTTGCATCCTTGCAACCTTGAATGCCGATTTCGAGGCGCCCGGGACTTTGTCGGACTCTACTGAACAATCACACTTATTGTCACTGGAAAACTATCTCCTCCTACAGTTTTGAAGCTACAGCAATGAGAGATATATCATTCGATTCGCAAATAAAAGATTTAGAGATTGGTCGTAGCTTTTTTCCAATTTCGTTATAGTTTTTACAATATTTTGAAAAAAGAGGGGGGGGAAAGTGGGAAATCGAAAAATTTTTGGAAATTTTACGAAAAATGCCCCCACGCCCGGAAAAATTCGAATTTCGATAAAGCTACGACGAATCGATAGATATGGACCTTACTCATCGAATGATATGCATCTCGATGTCGTAGCTTGAAAATCCTAGGAGGAGATAGTTTTCTACAGTACCCCCTTTTTGGCCGTTTTCTAAGGATTTCACGTTTTCTTTAATTTTTTCGAAAAATTTACACGAACAAAAAAGTCTTAGAATTATTTTTAACATATGTGTACCAAGTTTTAAAGTTATCCGTCCGCAAATAAAAAAGTTTTTCTAGGACCCAGACGCTCCCCCTAAGTTTGGTGGATGAGTTCATTTTATAGTTTCTAATGTCGCAGAACAAAACTTATGAACGGTTCACGGCTCAACCCTTACAATTTGTAGTTAAAACAAAACTTTCAAACAGAACGGGGTTAGTGAGTCAACAGAGTGGGGTTAGAGGGTCAACAGAGTGGGGTTAGTGAGTCAACAGAGTGGGGTTCGAGGGTCAACAGAGTGGGGTTAGTGGGTCAACAGAGAAGCTTCTTAAATGATCGCAACCTGCAAGCTTCTTGAATGATCGCAACCTGCAAGCTTCTTAAGAAGCTCGCTTAAGGTTTTTACAAAGTTAGCTCGATGTTACTAGGAAAGATGGATCTTTCAATTTGAGAATCCTCTTTATCCAAGTCTGGTCAATAGTCTCTTCCTTAATATGCCCTAATTAAGAACGGACCGGCTTCGAGCAGTACTCAGAAGAGATCTGTCATTCAGATCCGGTTCAGAAATTTAGCGGAAACTTGAGATTTTAATTTTCTGCATGAAATTTACGCATGCCAATGAAATCACTGTCCGTTATTTTAAGCGAACTCTCGCTAAAATATTTCAATTCTCATGACTTTATCACTGGATAAAACTTTACTCCAAGTAATAATGTGACCCAATAAATCTCATCAAAACTCGGCCGAGCAACCACAATATATTTACGGCGCTAGGCTTCAAACAAACTTTGATGTTATATATTTTATCAAATTTATTTATGTATATATATATACATATTTACAATTCCGGAGAACTGAGGGTCTTTTGTGTGTCGACTGAAGAAGGAAACTAAAAGCCGGGGTACAGGACAGCTCTCTTGGTTCCAACAACAACGGATACCGACTGTGAAATTAAGTAAAAATAAGCTATTGGAATCGAAATATATTAAATATTATTTATTGGAGCAATTGAATTCACAGAAAACACAAGTTTCATACACCCCTAAAAGATAAGTATCGTAGCTTCAAGGTAGCACCTGAACAAAAAATGGATCAGATTAACAAGGAAAGTTAGCTGGAGTCTCTTGTGAATAAAATTTTGCTCGCGAGCCTTTATTTTACATTCGCCTGAATTAAAATTTGTACGGTGTTTGCTTACGTACGTTGAATTACATAATTTTCCCGAAAAATTGTGACCTAATCAAGAAGTTACTTGTTGAAGTCTGTTTCTCTATATTGTTAAACTAAAAAAAAAGTTATGCATGTTAATGTATTCGGGTATAAATTTTAATTTCATGTTTTAAATCATGAAAGTCTAAACTTACACCTGAACTTAAGGGAACTTACTTAGCTCCCTTAAATTGCTTGCTAACAAGTCCAGCTAACTTTTCCTATCAGCCTTAAGGTCTTTTTGATCGAAGCTTCTAATCTAGCATCGTCCATCACCGTTATCTGGAAGATATAAGATCTCATTTCCATAGAGTAGCTCGAAAATCCTGCACGCTTGCAAAGTCTTAAAATTCAAGGCATTCTCATCAACAGAAATCGTAGAGAATCGTGAGCCATTCTGCCGTAGAGTTATTTGTGTCATGCAGCTTTGTCATTGAAATGAGAGCGCCCGTCATTTAGGATACGACAGCGGCTCACTAAACGCACGCAAGATCAATGACTTTCATAAGAAGGCTCAGCGATGCTATTTTTATTACGAGCAAACTTAAATAGGTAATTCCAGTATTTGAAAGAGATGGACGTGTCCCAAGGAAAATGGGCCGACGTTGCAGTTTCTGGAATTTCAATTATGGCTGTAAGAATTTAACGGAAAGATTTGTTTTATTTGTGACAATTTATGGTCAATTGCTGGGCAATATTTGTAAATTAAAACATAACTGGAAGAACTCTGCATTGGCGGGAAGTGGATATGGTAGTGGATGTGCTTGTGGTTTTATTTATATATATTTTTTTCAATTTATTTTTGTAATCCACAGAAGTTTTGTTATTTATCGTTACAAAAATATCCAATCATGCATGCTTTTACTTACTAACTGAAACTTTTGCTACCAAAAAACTTTGTAAAGTTAAAAATCACCGTGACACGGAAAATCGACACTTAAAAATAGTGTCTAAAATTGTGATAATCAGTTTGAAACAAAACATAAGGACGAAGTAACCTTTAGAAAAACGTTAATATTGTCAACAAACTGCCAAATTCTTATCTTTTCAACAATACTGATATTATTCATTTTTAAATGAATTGCTATTGGGCTTTACTACATATTCAGCTTCGGGCTGAATAATGTATGTGGGCTTCATATTTGTGCGAACAAAATCTTTCTTGTTCAATTATCATTTCATTTACTTATGAACAATTATCAACCAAAAAAAATGAACTTCAGAATTGCATTCCAGTTAATATCCAGCACAGTCATTGGTGAATATCCAGTCATTGGACAGCATTCGCACGATATTCACCATATTCATACTGTGGAAGCTCGTGAACTGGAAAATTATCTTTTCTTGATGAGGTTTTTCACTTCGTATTGCCATTCAAATAGGATTCATCGTACCTAATCATCGTACCTAATCTCGATGATGCTACCACTAACGACCTCATGAGAGTGGGCAAAATTTTGATAACCTATCAGCATTTAAATCCAACCCTAATTGCAGGATAGCACGGATCGGCCGCGCATTCATCAAATATGGATAGGAAATGATAACGTTCAGGAACGATGCAAATTATGTCATCAATCTCACGACTGATTGTCATGCAGATATTCGTTTCATTTGAGCTTCAATAACTATAGTTGGCTTGAAACTGACGAGTTTTGGAAAGTATACTGTTAAATTTTGTTTCTTTGTGAAAATTACGTTTTTAAAGTATTTTTATTCTGCAATGAATCGCAGTTGTATTCAGTGCATGAGCATTTTCAGTGACAAATGAATCTACTTTATTTTAGGTGACATACTTCTACTTTATTGCGAGTCAGTAATTGTAAATTTTAGAATTGAAAACGTAAATTCAAAGAAACTTGAGTAAATATCATAGATTTTGAGTTGAGGAAAGTCGAACCGTGGCATGAAAATCTAGGTATTGAGGAATCTCACTCATAGTTCAATAATTCAAATACTGTATATCATTAAATACGTACGAAATCAATTATTTCAATTATTTTAGCTATAATTTTGTTTTGATCTGCAGTTAAACATGGCCTAATTTTGTGTTGCATTCTATATTTCTTGTTTGTGCAGCATTAAGGCCTACATAGAACGTATCCTAACATTCGTTCCTAAAGCCTTCATGGTTATGCTAGACGCTCACAGGAAATGGCATTAAGTCATTTGGTTTGACGGACAAATATGTGAATTAGAGCATTGAAAAAAAT